TGCCTAATGTGGGCTTCCTGTCTAAACGTATGTATCGAACCAGTCCGCTCGCTGCTTAATTTTTAATTTTAAAGACCAAACCAGTATGTGTAAAGGCATGCCAAACTAGATGTTATCTGATTTACGAGGTTTATGTGAGCCTTACCTGTTTGTTTGTTCATTCCCCCTACTTGTTACTTGTTTTTAAATGTCGATTAGAATTTTTGTCCTTTAAACTCCATAAAGGCCCCCATCCATTTCTTCCCCTTTTAGGATTAGAAGTCCTAATGCCCCGGGACTGATAGCTTGGGACGGGTAATAGCATGCAATAGGCAAACGATACCATTCCGCGCTCCAATACCTTAACGGGGTGGGAAAGGGTAGACATGGAGATGATGATTACACGATAACACTATGCGTACAATTGAGTACCAGTGTTGTGCGAATGATCCATGTAATATATAAACCTAGGACCCCCTCCCTCTTTATTAGTTTAACAATTTTCTGAATCTTAAAAAGTTGTTGCATTTTCGACTTCTGTTTTTCACATAATTTTCAGATTGTTCGCACTAAGTACTTGACTTCTTCCTACTTGCACTTTTAACTAAACTGCACCTTCCCTAAAATTCAGCACTTTTTTTAACCTTTTGTGCTTCTTATTTGTAATAATTTTCTTGTATTTGCAATGCTTGCTTGTTTACTTGTTTGTTTGCATTCAAAGTAACAATTGTAGCATGGCCGGGAACCACACTAGTGGATCTTGAGGGGTGCCTAATACCTTCCCCTCGAGATAATTTCTAGCCCTTACCCAAACTCTGGTTCTTCATCTCAAATTCTTCCTTAAAGTGTCCTAATGCACTATAATCATTAGGTGGCGACTCTTCAAACTCCAAAAATCCAATTCTCGCAAGGGAATAGAGTTGTCCTCCCGAATGTCGTGAACCCAATTCCGCGAGGAAAAAGGGGGCGTCGACAACATGGAGACTCTGCTGGGGATTCTTTAAGCTTTTACCACTTCATGTTATATGTGACTTTATTGTTTTCTTTATTGCTTTGTTTAATACCTTTATTCGAAACTAACTTGTCTTTTGTTTCTTTTTCTTAAACGCTTTCATTTACTGCTTTCCTTCAATACCGTTGTAATTTCTGAGCAATTATTGTAATCATTATGAACGTGAAAATACGTGAGAATTTGTTTTATTCTTGTAATTGCATCTTCAACATCATATTCCACTCGTGCCAAACAAATACCATAGCAACGCTTGATGAGTTGTTGCGCTCTTCCAATATTATTACCCCCTAAATTTGGAAAAGACATATTTGCGGTAAAACTAGTCGATCAGCGGTGCAGTCGACGGTTCCGTGCCTTTCCCTCTTGATTTGTCCGCTCAAGGGTACCGGTCTAGCACCCCATAGAAACCTTATTCTATTTAACTGTACATGCATCACTGTCAAACCTAGTCGAGTCAGTTATGTTGTCCACATAATGACTCTTTAAGATAGCCTTATCCAAAGTCCACTGGGTTCCCCTAGGACCCAAACGGACAAGACCATGCTCTGTGTATTTATTTGGAGAACTAAATGCTGTTTATGCCAATTATTGATTTAAATAGTCGAGTTCGGCGGGGGTGAGGGACTAACACTTTGTTTTGCAGAAAATGAGGCACGAAGTCCCCAGATTCGGCATGGTAACCAACATTCACCCAAGGTTGCTAAGCTGGTGGGAAGACCTTCACTGCCAGAATGCCGAGGGAAGCGAAGGGGGACACTTGGCTAGAGCTTACTTGCTACTGGGACTGCGTGAGCTGGTGAAGCTGTTCAATGGAGCTAAAGATGCCGAGTCTGGGGAAGGTCCTTCTGGGACCAAGTAGTTAGGAGTCTTTTCTTTTGCTTTAATGTAATAAGGCCCACGACCATTAGTAACATTTTATTTTCCGCAATTTTAGCGTCATTTTGGGATTCGTCTTATTTTTATCAATAAAATGAGGCATTTAGGATTATAAGTTCTCCAAATCAACTTGTCGCTAGGCCTACCTCGGGCACAATGAGGCACCCAAATTAGGACACGATTTATATTCTTGCACTATGTGTTTAAATATCACAACGTTTTCTCCTCATAATCTTTACTAACTTGTTACCTTTTTGTTTTACTTTTTGTTTTATTCCCCTTCCCCAAAGGTTAGTTCGTGCACTCTGGCATGATCATCTTAAGCAGAAGGGCACATCTCAATAACTGGACTATCAGAACCACCAGAGCCCGGAAGGCTTTGGGGTAGCAAGGCTAAACAAAAGCACCATGCATTTCATTTTTAGCTCACTNCTTCAACATTATATTCCACTCGTGCCAAAAAAATACCATAGCAACGCTTGATGAGTTGTTGCGCTCTTCCGATATTATTACCCCCTAAATTTGGAAAAGGCATATTTGCGATAAAACTAGTCGATCAGCGGTGCAGTCGACGGTTCCGTGCCTTTCCCTCTTGAGTTGTCTGCTCAAGGGTACCGGTCTAGCACCCCATAGAAACCTTGATTCCTCGAAGTAAAGCTCATTTTCTTCCTCGGAATTGGACTCTTCTTGGCTTCCTTCCACACTCTCAAGTTGGAGGGCATAGTGAGCCTCAACCAATATTTTCATTTGATCTTCTAAGGTGTGGATATGTTCATCATTGTAAGCCAAGCCTTGTTTCAAGTCCTCGAGTGCAAAGTTGTGCTTCTCCTCATTTTCAAGAATGGTCTCCAACATGAGCATCATTTTCTCATTTTGAGCATTTGAGAGTTCTTCTTGGTTTTGATCAAGTGCCAAGGAAGGATTTTCAACTTCAATCTCCAAGGAAGGTTCTTGGCTATCATTCACTTCCGAGGCTTTTTGAACCCTTAAGGCTTTGATCATTTCATCCATTTGTGAGTGCAACCTTGTAAGTGTCAAGTCATTTTGGAGACTATTTTCCAAAAGCTCCTCCAAGGCACTTTGTTCTTTGTTTCCTCCTTCAATTAAGCACTCCAACATGAGCTTCAACTCTCCATTTCGGCCATGCTCAACTTCTTCTACATCCATAGCCCTATAATTTTCATCACAAAAAGTAGAATCATCATAGCGGGGGCTTGAGGAAGGGAAGGACAAATAAGCACAATCATCTCAATGACCATTTTGAAAACCACACTTATCACAAATACTCCACTCATGGGTTTGAGATTGTGCGCAGAATCCACCCCCGGGAGAATTTAAGCAATTTTGCCACGAGTGTGGTCCTCCACAATAAGGACAAGGGTCATCAAAGTATGAACAACAACCATCCGACCGATGTTCATTATATGATGCCATTTTTCAAAACTAAGAAAATAAACAAGAAACAAATAATAAAAATAGATCAAGGTAAGAAAAATAACTACACAAATATTCACATGTTTGGACCAAAGCACTTACGCTTATTTCTCAAACAGCCTAAATTACGCCAAATTGTTCTCCGGCAACGGCGCCAATTTTGAAGATGTCCAAATCCACTACTAAAAAGTAAATGGACACGGTCACATGCAATATAATTTACCCAACTATGAGTCGGGGTCGAAGCCCACAGAGAACAATATGTAGGCGATTAGGAATGTAAGAGAATTATCACTTATCGCGCAATGCCAAACATTAAGAATTTGGTTTTTGGAAAATGATTATAACTAAATGCAAAAATATAAACTAACCTAGAAAGCAAGTAAAATGATCAATGGCTACAAGGATGAATGCATCGCGAATTACACTCAAGTAACGATCCAATGTATTTCACGATTTTACAAATATGAGCGAGTTTATCTTAATTAGCCACGAGTAATAATACTATATTAGCTTCTTCTGAAGACTAACAAGACTTCCTAATTGAATTATCCCTAAAACAATTAAGAGATTAAGAACTCCCGAATATGGCTACAAGTAGTTCTATCCTATCCCTAGGTAGAATCTATAAAATGAGGGTTAACGCCTCAAGTTCTTGTTAATTAATCTTTCCCAACCCCAAATTATCTTTTCCAAAATTAATTCGGAGTAAATGGGCGAGTCCTAGGGTTAGCTAATCCCTTTGGAAACATTAAAGAACAAGAATAATTAAAATAACAATAACTCACTTCATAAAAGAATAAAAATCATTCAATACATAAGCACAACAAGGTATTTAATCCACACTTTAAATATGAGTATTTCCATAAACAAGATTCAAGTGTTGAAAATAAATACTACACACTTAAATATTCAATACAAAGCAAGGAAATGAAGAAATAAACATAAATGGGTAAGAAATCCTTAACCACAAGCTTCAAATCTTCAAGACCCAAGTGTGTGTGCAAACCCTAGCTTCAAAACTTGTTCTTCTCTAGTCTATGGAACTGAAAATAAGCCAAAGATGTTCAGATGTTCCCAAAGATACTGCTAGGTCGAGTATTTGTGGGTTTGGAAATGAGAAAATGTGAAATGCCTAATTTGCCCAGGTCTGATGCCCGTTGACCGCATCTGCGGATAAATCCTCGCAGAGGCGGTTTCGCAGATGCGGATATCATATCGTAGAAGCGGAATGTTGATGTTTGTCTGGCACCGTAGATGCGGACTCCAAAGCGGATGCGCTACCGCAGAAGCGGAAAATAACTCGCAGATGCGATTCCTGGCAAATGATCCATCTCCGCAGATGCGGGATAGCTTCTGCGACAACTCTTCCGCAGATGCAGAATCACTGGAGAGTTTTGCATTGTTTTCACCCTCTTTTTCTCAATTCCATTTCAATTCAATTCAAATCACTTCATGGCACCATTTACCTGAAAATCTAACAATACACACCATAAACGACCTCATATTATAGTTAAAGGACATAAAAGCTAAGGAAAAGAGACTAGAATGAGTGGTAAAATCACCACTCATCATTTACAAGATCCAAGGGAAGTGTCGAAATGTCGTCAGAAAGTCATCTACCAATAATTCCCATCCCAAAGGATAGCCCGATATCGGTTATCCCAACAGAGTTGCTCTTCTTCTCCCCCTTTTCTTGCTATGCAACCGCCTTTGGCTTCTTTTCAACATCGGCGATAGCAATGATAGCTTTTAAATTTTGGTCAAACTCTTTATCCTCACAAATCATCCCAATAACTGGCCCATTGTTGTGAGCCAGCAATGGGTTATTGGTCACATTGGGGACCTCTTCATCTTTCAGCACTATCTGCTTTTGCTCTATTAGACTTTCGACCGCCCTTTTAAGAGTCCAACAGTCTTCAGTGTCGTGCCCTTCCGCTCCTGAATGATAAGCACATCGGGTACCGGGTCGATAGGAGGGTGACTCTGGGTTTTGCCTATTTTGGGGTACGGGTTGCGACAAACCCATTTGGACCAGCTTAGGGAAAAGGCTAGAGTATGATTCACCAATGGGCGTGAAGTTGGTTCTTCTGGGTGGCTCCCGGGCACGGGCATTGTATGGAAAATTATTTTGTGGGGGTCGGGGACTATATGGAGCATGGTGAGGAGGGTTATTTCTAGGAAGTGGAGCTCGATTTTGGTTAAACTGTTGTTGTGGTCGAGCGTATGGCTGGGCATTCATCACCGCATAAGGCTGAGGAGTCATGGAATAAGCCACATCCTGGTGAGGATAATTATGTTGCGGGATGTTTGAAGGGAAGTAACCTCGGGGTTGACAGGGTTTCTCAGACTTGAAGCCACCATCGCCACTTCTTCTTTCTTCTTTCTGTTTGCTACACCCCTTGACCCACTCTGGATTGCTTGGGACGTAGCTCTAATAGCAGACTGGCTCAATATGCAGCCTGTCTTCAAACCATTTTCGACCATCTCCCTAATCTTGATAGCCTCAGCAAACGGCTTTCCCATTGCAGACATCATGTTCTGGAAGTAGTCAGCCTCTTGGGCTTGTAGGAACACACTGACCATCTCGGTCTCATCCATTGGGGGTTTCACCCTGGCAGCTTGTTCGCGCCACTTGACAGCATATTCTTGGAAACTCTCCGAAGACTTCTTTTTGAGATTAGACAGAGAATTTCTGTCTGGAGCTATGTCTATGTTGTACTGAAATTGCCTGACAAAATCTCAAGCCAAATCATCCCATATGTGCCAGTGAGATATGTCTTGATCCATATACCACTCGGATGCAATTCTGACTAGACTTTCTCCGAGGTAAGCCATTAGGAGTTCTTCTTTTCTGCCCGCCCCTCTTAGTTGATTGAAATACCTCTTGAGGTGGGCTATAGGGTCCCCGTGCCCGTCATGCTTTTCGAACTTGGGAGTCTTAAAACCAATGGGCAGATGAACATGCGGGAACATACATAAATCGGCGTAGGATACACTCTTCTGGCCACTTAAACCTTGTATATTCTTGAGGCTTTGTTCCATGCTTCTCATTTTTTGAGTGATTTCCTCCTGCTCGGGATTCTTTGTAGCTCTCTCTGGTCCCGCGGTAAACTCATACCGAGGTTGTTGAGGGTAAGAATTGGTGGTGAAATGAGCTGTATCTGATGGAAAAGATGGTACTTGGAAAGTAAAGGATGATGGATCAAAACTTGGCCTGGGCAAAGTTGGCTGTGCCATAGCCGAGGTTGGTGGTGCGGTGAATATATTAGAAGCCACTCCCGAAATCAATGCCTGGGGGCGAACCTCAGAAGGCGTTCCGGAGAAATGGGCTGAGATGGTGGGATATCCAAGTGGGGTGTTCGAGTAATTTATTGGGATGTTGGAAGTTCCACTTGCTCTGGGAAGTAGCTCGGGGAAACCAGGTATTGCACTAGGCGGCTCTCTACCGTTGGACCAAGCGTCCCACATTTCCAACATGCGGAGGCGCACCCTATTCTCTTAAGCAGCCGCTGAATGAAGCATATGTTCCGATTGAAACCACTGTCGAGCAACTGGAAAGGATGGCGGAACGATTCTTCGAAGTCAACCGGATTTCATTTAGCAGAAATGACTTGCCCCCGAAAGGGGCTGCCCACAACAAAGCTCTTCATCTGACAGTTAAATGTAAAGGGTACTATGTAAAAAGAGTCATGCTGGATGGTGGATCTGGGGTCGACATCTGCCCTCTCTCAACTTTGCAAAGAATGGAAATTGGGACTGAGAGACTCAGGCCTAACAATGTTTGTGTGCGTGCTTTTGATGGCATCAAGAGAGACAGAATAGGGAGATTGATTTGATCTTGACTATCGGTCATGTGGATTTCGAAGTGACATTTCAGATCTTGGACATGGACACCTCTTATAATTTTCTCCTAGGAAGGCCTTGGATCCATGCTGAAGGGGCCATACCTTCTACTCTCCACCAAATGGTGAAATTTGAACAAGAAGATCAGGAAATCGTGGTCCATGGAGTGGACGAGCAATCAATTTATAGGGACCCGTCAGTCCCATGTCTCGAGGCTAGGGAAGGTAGTGAGCATATAGTCTATCAAGCTTTTGAGGTTGTGGTCGCAGATCAATGTGAGGAAGGAAGCCCGTGTCCAAAACCCTTTTTGTCAAATGCGTCAATCATGGTCGCTACTGAAATGATCAAGCACAGGTATAAGCCCGGGAAGGGGCTCGGGGTATCGTTGCAAGGTATCACGGAACCCGTCACTCTGGCTGCCAGTGAGAAGTTCTTCGGTGTGGGTTTTCAAGTCACGAAAGTTGATGTGACACGGGCAAATGAACGAAAGAGCAATGGTTGGGTGTTGCCTCAGCCGGTCCCACATCTCTCCAAAACATTCGTCAAGCCCAGATACATAGAGGAGGAAGATGAAGGCTTCACGGCCGAGGAAATTGAGGACATATGTGGAGCCATGAGGCAAATGTTATATGAAGCTCACATGGTCTAACCGGGAGAAGGCTCGAGCACTGCTAAGGTGCTATATATGGGCCCCGACGCCAAGCTTCAGAATTGGAAGGCTACTCCGTTCCCAGTCAGGCGGGAATCCCGGTAGTCCAGTCTTGCCACCTTTTCTGCATTCTGAGTTATTCCAGGGTGTAACTCGAATGTTTCTTTTAGTTTATCGTGTTTAAAATTCCAATGTAAACCCTTCTATCTTCAAATTCAATGAAATGAACTAAATTTTTTGTCGTCTATGAATCTCATTCTTTATTCTTTCTGATTTTTGTTACTTTTCTTATTTCTTCTTTTAGTTCTAATAATGCGGACTTAAATAACATGACATGCTTGCGGACTTCATGCCCAGATCCTAACACGCTGTCTAATTGTGAAATAATGAATCAAGAACCAGAATATTATGAAGATGAGGCTTTTAGGGAAATAAACCGAGAACAGGAACAATTTGAGAATAAGCCTAAGCCAAACTTAAATGAAACTGAGCCAGTTAATTTGGGTAGTTCAGAATAGGTCCAGGAAACCATGATAAGCATTCACACTGATGAAAAAGGATGCATTGATTCAACTTTTGTTCGAGTTCAAAGATGTGTTTGCCTAGTCCTATGATGATATACCAGGACTGAGTGTCGATTTTGTGGTACATAAATTTCCAACTTACCCCGGTTATCCCCCTGTCCAACAAAAGCAGAGAAAGTTCAAAACTGACATCAGTGACAAGATCAAAGAAGAGGTCACCAAACAGTTAAAGGCGAGGGTGATCCGAGTGGTCCGATACACCACGTGGTTGGCTAATGTGGTCCCAGTGCCAAAGAAATATAGGAAAACCCGAGTGTGTGTTGATTATCGGGATCTGAACAAAGCAAGTGCTAAGGACAACTTCCCTTTGCCAAACATCCACATCCTTGTTGACAACTGTGCCAAACATGAGATACAGCCTTTCGTGGATTGTTATGCTGGATATCATCAGGTCTTGATGGATGAAGAAGATGCAGAAAAGACAGCCTTCACCACGCCTTGGGTACCTATTGTTACAGAGTCATGCCTTTTGGTTTGAAGAACGCCGGGGCAACTTACATGAGAGCTATGACTGCCATCTTTCACGACATGATGCACCAGGAAATTGAGGTATATGTGGACGATGTGATCATTAAATCAAGAATGCAGGACGACCATGTTCGGGATCTAAGAAAGTTCTTTGAGCGTCTGCGTAAGTATGACCTGAAGTTAAATCCAGCTAAATGTGCATTTGGAGTTCTGTTTGGGAAGCTTTTGGGATTTATAGTTAGTCGGAGGGGCATCGAGCTAGATCCAACAAAGATAAAGTCTATTCGGGATTTGCCTCCTCCAAGAACCAAGAAAGAGGTTATGAGTCTGTTGGGAAGGTTGAATTACATCAGCCGGTTCATTGCTCAGTTGACTTCCACATGTGAGCCCATATTTAAGCTATTGAAGAAGGATGCGGCGATTAGATGGATAGATGAGTGTCAGGAAGCTTTCGACAAAATCAAAGAATATCTGTCAAATCCGCCAGTCTTGGTCCCACCCGAACCTAGAAGGCCTTTGTTTTTGTATTTGACAGTCTTGGAGAATTCCTTTGGATGTGTTCTCGGGCAACATGATGTGATCGGGAAGAAAGAACAGGCAATATACTATTTGAGCAAGAAGTTCACTAGTTATGAAACCAAATACACTTTGTTGGAAAGGACTTGCTGCGCCCTAACTTGGGTCGCTCAGAAGCTTAGGCATTACATGTTGGCCTACACCACCTATCTCATCACCAGGTTGGATCCTTTGAAGTACATATTCCAGAAGCCGATGCCCACAGGGAGGTTGGCAAAATGGCAAATCCTTCTCACTGAGTTCGACATAGTCTATGTCACTCGCACGGCAATGAAAGCTCAAGCTTTAGCGGATCACCTAGCTGAAAATCCTGTTGATGATGAATATCAGCCCTTGAGTACCTACTTTCCGGACAGGGAAGTAAATTCAGTTGAGGTAATTTCAGAAGACACCAATGCTTGGAAAATGTTCTTCAATGGAGCTATGAACGCAAAAGTTGTCGGGATTGGGGCAATCTTGATCTCACCCACTGGTCAGCATTATCCGGCTATAGCCCGGCTTCGGTTTTTCTGCACAAACAACACTGCCGAGTATGAAGCCTGCATTATGGGTATGAACATGGCAATCGACCAAGATGTGGAAGAATTGTTAATCATGGGAATTTGTAATTGATTATCCGACAAGCTCAGGGAGAATGGGAAACTCGGGATGTCAAGCTTATTCCATACAGGCAATATGTTGAAGGTCTTAGCAAGCGGTTCAAATTCGTCGAGCTCAGGTACATTCCTCGGTTTCACAATGAGTTAGTCGATGCACTAGCTACTTTGGCCTCGATGTTGCCATATCCGGGCAATGTCCACATTGACCCGTTGGAAATCCAAATCCGAGAAAGGCATGGTTATTGCAATACGGTTGAGGTGGAACCAAATGTTCAGCAATGGTATCATGATATCAAGAGATTTTTGAAAACAAAGGAATATCCTGAGCAAGCCAGTGGAGACCAAAAGAGAACCATTAGAAGGCTTGCCATTGAGACCAAAAGAGAACCATTAGAAGGCTTGCCAGTGGCTTTTTCTTGAGCAGAGAAGTCTTGTACAAAAGGACTCCGGATCTGAACCTTTTAAGATGTGTGGATGCCCAAGAGGCCGGAAGAATCATGAATGAAGTACACGCAGGAGTGTGTGGACACCATATGAATGGATACGTCCTTCCAAAGAAAATCCTTCGAGCAGGTTATTACTGGATGACTATGGAAAAGGATTGCTTCAGTTTTGTCCGAAAGTGTCATCAGTGTCAGGTACACGGTGACCTGATTCATGCACCGCCTTCAGAATTACATCCTATGTCAGCACCATGGCTGTTTGTTGCTTGGGGTATGGATGCCATTGGGCCAATCGAGCCAAAAGCTTCAAATGGGCACAGATTCATATTAGTTGCCATTGACTACTTCACAAAGTGGGTCGAAGCAGTCACTCTCAAAGCCGTCACTAAGAAAGCAATGGTAGACTTCCTGCACTCTAACATCATCTGTCGTTTTGGTATCCCTACAACTATCATTACGGACAATGCTGCAAACTTGAATAGTCACTTGATGAGGGAGATATGTGAACAATTTAAGATCACGCATCAGAATTCTACCCCTTATCGGCCCAAAGCTAATGGTGTTGTTGAAGCGGCAAACAAAAAAATCAAGAAGATTCTTAGAAAAATGATTCAAAGTTCGAGACAATGGCATGAAAAGTTGTCGTTTGCATTGTTGGGATATCGCACAACTGTGCGCACATCAGTCGGAGAAACACCCTATCTATTGGTTTATGGCACTGAAGCCGTAATACCCACAGAAGTTGAAATTCCATCTCTCCAAATCATCGTTGAAGCTGGGATTGAGGATAATTAGTGGGTCAAGACCCGTCTAGAACAGTTAACCTTGATTGATGAAAAACGGATGGCCGCAGTTTGCCACGGGCAGTTGTATCAACAAAGAATGGCCCGTGCCTACAACAAGAAAGTGCGGCCTAGGAACTTTGAAGTGGGGCAACTCGTTTTGAGACGTATTCTCCCTCATCATAAGGAAGCAAAAGGAAAGTTCGCTCCAAACTGGAAGGCCCATACATTATAAGAAAATTATTGCCGAAAGGGCATTGTACTTGGGAGACATTGAAGGAAATGACCCTTAAAGAGCTGTCAGTGCATACACGGTCAAAAGGTATTACGTTTAACCCTTCTGCGGTACCAATATTATCCGATTGGGATGACGAAGGCTTTCATTCTCGCTACCTCAAACACTTCAACCCTTTGCTAACCCTTTGAGCTGGTTACCTTTCTTTGATTACCCTCTTTGGAACCCGAAAATGTTTGTCAAAAAAAAATCAAAAAACAAAGTTTCCCTGAACTACGTTCGACTTGAT